TTAATTTATAAATAAATATTTTTAAAGATTATAATTAACTATTAAAAATTTTTTATATAAATTAATAAAATTATAATTAATATTAGTGATATTAATAAAATTAGTAATAACCATAGCTTCGGCCGAACACCCTGTGACATAGATAAATCAAATATAAGAAATATTAAGAATTGTGACAAATAAACAACATAAAAAAAGTAATTTAATTATCAACCTCATAATCTGTAAAGACAAAGGAATTTAGTGGAAGAATTCAAATTAGTTTTTTTGAGCCGCTAAAGTTTTCGCTTTTGAGAAGGGAAGAGTTCACGGGAGAAAAGCGAGGAGAAATAAACCTTGAGAAAAGACGTAGAGAATGTGTATTGAAAATTAATTAATGCTTGAAGCCTTTGGAAGAGAATACGTCCCTCAAAATTAATCCAGTATCAAATAAGCCCCTCCCTTACTGCACATTCATTGATCAAAATTACATACCCAAACCAGGAAATAGAGGAAAATTCACTTTTGCTTTTGCTTTATAGTATATGTGTCACGCCCAAAACTCAGATCCGAGGACGTGGCAGATGCCATGCACTTGTGAGTGGGTCTCACAAATGCACAAGGCTCAGAACTTATCCAATTCACATCTGATACCACAAAAAATCTGAAGATCAAATTTTGAAACTTCTCTGATATCATAAAATCTCCAATCACAATCTAGCTTACAATATCATCCTTTACATCTAAAATCCATATTCAATTACAAGATGGCTAGCCTTCTAACTCGTCACTCCCCTCGGTTTCCCCATCCTCGGTATCGCTTCCTGAAATGGTGGACAAAGAAAACTATGAGATAACTCAGTAAGTAAATATGGATAGCCCTTGAGTAAAACTTTTAAGCATGCCAGATAAACCATGTAAACATAGCAAAACTTTCATTGATAAACCATTAATGCGGAAATCAAATTCGGTTCAATAGCAAAACATTCAATGACAAAACCATCAATGCAAAAATCAGATTCAATTCAATGACCAAACGTTTCCTGACAAACCGTTAATGCGGAAAAAAACTCAGTTCAGTAATCTCATCTATAAGTCATGGCCAGTGTTATAACAACCCACTGGCAAGCGACAGAAATTTGCCAATGTATTCGCCCAGTGGCAGGCGTCGGAATTTGCCAATGTATTCGCCCAGTGGCAGGCGTCATATCAGTAAACATGTCGACATGTGCTAGCGTTACACCCACTAGCGGGGATCGGAAGTGCTACACACCCACTAGTGGGGATCGGAAATCATGATCATATCAGAGACAAAACCATGCAGGATTCACAATCAAAATCCTTAATTCACAATCGAAATCCGTAATTCACAATCGAAATCCCAAATTTTAGAAATAACCAGAAAATTCCATGTGAACATATATTTAACAGAAACCGCAGAATTTGCAAACTCTCAGTTCATCAAAACAGTTCAGTCAATTCCCAATAGGCATACTCTATTCCAGAAAAACAATGAAATTCTCATTTTCATTCCAATCATGCTCAATTCCAGAAAATAATAATTTTCATAAAAATCACCACAATTTCCATTTCAGCTTAATCACATTCAGATGCTGATAAAATCAATTTAAAATCAATTTAAACCTTGCCACCATCTCAAAAACAATCGAAAACATGTTTTGAAATCGAAGGGCTTTACCATAATTTACTTACCTCACTCGCATAAAACCGAGCACTTAATCTCAGTGCTAACTGACAGAACGATCGGAAACCTAATCAAAACACCTCAAAATTAATACCGGACTATCACAAATTCAAACTGAAATCATCATTAAAATCACTCCTAATCCCAATGCTATTCCTATCAATCTCCACATGATCAAGTATCTCCAAATTCGTTCTCATATCACAAACTAATCACTTAAATCCCCGTTAATAGTTGGCCCTCGGGGTGTGAACAGTGTCCATGAACAGTACCCATGAACAGTACCACGACGTGAACAGTAACCCCGATTTTCACAAATTGGCCAAAACACTAGCTAATTCCACAGGATTTTCTCCAAAAAATCACACAACAATCTAAATCAAGCTAATTTACACTTAAACCAAGCTTAAAACATGCTCAAAGGCTACCGGAATTTCCCCCATTTTTCCAACACAATTCGGACATACAAGGCAGCAAACTAAATGGACAATTTAAGCCTTAAAAGGCTGTCACATACCAGAATTCTCCAGCTAAAACCGGAGCTGCAGGGGTGGGAAGGCCGACGGGATCTGCAGGGCGAAGCTCACGGAACTACCCAAAATTGGAGGAAATAAGAGCAATCAAAGTTAACCCAAGCCAATTCAAGCAAGAACAGAGGGATTGGTAGCTGTTTCTTACCCAAAACCGGAGCAAATCACCCCCACAAAGCAGGAGCAGCCGGCGGAAGGACAGAGCAAAGCAGGGCAGATCCGGATTTTCCAGCAGGGGAGAAGGTTTCTGGGTTCCCTTTTCAGTTCTAGAACAAGAAAAGGAAGGCAAAACCAAGCTTTTCCAGCCGGTTTCTCAAGGCTGGTGCCGGCGGCTTGCTTGGGGGAAATTTCGGGCTGCAGCGGGAAGAAGAGCAGAATCGGGAAATGGCTGGGAAGAAAAGAAAAAAAGAAAAAGAAAAAGAAAAGAAGTCATCCTTATCCAAAATCTTTCCCTCTTTAAGTCTCTCAACTTTTGAAATATTCACATTAGACCCCAAAACAATCTTTTCTCACAATCAAATCCTTAACTTACACTTAAATATTCCCGAAAATTTGGGATATTACAATATGAAACAATGATGTTAAAGGGACTGAAATGGCATGAAATTTACTCTAAGGGACGTATTTGGGACGGAATTTAATGGAGGCTTGATTTAAAAGTAAGGTTATGAATACTGTATCAACATACATATTAGTTTTATTATTGGTATAATATGTATTGTATATTAAATTATATTATATATTATTTTAAATTTATCATTATAAATATATATTTTTATTAAATTAATTATAAATTTATAGAATAATATTTGTTAAACATAAAAAAATAAAATTAATGCCTTAAAATATAAATTTGTAGAGTTAAAAAACAATATTATTAATATTTAGAAAACATAATTCATTGTTAGTATGTAAATTTAAAATGACTAACTTGCATGCGTCATTGTTCAATTTTTCAAAAAATGAAAGGGCACTCTTTTTTTTATCCTTAACATGGTTCATCGTCATTCTGTATCTCAATAAATATCTCATCCAAATCTCACCCTCACCAACCACGTGTCCATGCTTATGCCATTTCTCAATGCATCATTCAAAACTAAATCGAAAAATGGCATGCCTTACCTCTCATCGTCGTCCCTTATGGCCTGAATACTTAGTCACCCAGCTTATAAATTGAAAGTCTAAAACAATTGATTACAATCTACTTCAACTTTCTTTTCCCTTTTTGTAAGCAAAAATCAATTAAACCATAGATTACAGTGCTTCTCAACTTTCTTCTCCTCTGTCTCTCTCTGGAAATTCGATTAAACCAGTGCCGACCACAAATTATCGACACCGCTTCCAATTTTTTCACCTCCATTATCCCCTCCACGTAACCCCTGATTATTCAGCATCACCCTCACAGTCACAGACTCACAGTCTCCTTCCTCTTTTTCACCCTTTTTTTTTTTGTTGTGTGTGAAAATGGCTTACAAATTTGCACCGGTCGAAATTAAAATACTGCCCAGTACACGTTACTTCGGCCGATTTGCAACTTTTCTACCGGTATCGCTAAGAAATTAACTGGTACAGTATAATGCCCTATAGTATATTGGTTTTATGACAAAGCTGATACGTACTGGCCGTACCAACTGGTTCAGTGTGAGATTCACAACTTGTTTAGAAGATTAACAGCTTAATTGAGGGGCCAATATTAGGATTATTCCTATGGAGCAAACCTTGTTTTTTATGCTTTTCGACTTCATATAATGATCTGAACATCTTTACCAACGCCTTAAATCGGTTTGATGGTCTTCAAATCCTCTTCATTGTTTTATCCACTACCTTACCGTATACTGATATATATCTCTTCATGCTTATCTTTTGCTGAATGTGTATTTTAGTTTGAACGTTGTGAGCTATGTGTGGTACAATCTGCGGTACAATGTGCGATATGCATTCGAAGACTTTGTAGATTTAATTCGAGGTGACAGTTATGATTTTTACCATTACCAGTACTATAAAGGTATGCTTTTCTAATTCAATCTTTACTAGGAATTAATACTCATTCCTTACTACTGTATGTTTATGTGCTTACACGTCTCTGTCATTTTGTTATTCTAATAGATGGCGATGGCATAATTCTAGAAGTAACAGGTCAGTCTTAATTTCACATTTAAAAAAAATAATCATAATAACTACTTTGCGGGTAATAGTGATACGTAACTATGTGATGTGATCCTGTTCCTAATTTTTTGTGATAAGGTGGACTTATTTTGGCAAGAACTTTGCTGGGGCTATCCATCTTGATGACAATAATTGTGTACAAGTTCTGCAGGAGACATTTGTCTGCAGATGATACAATTGAAGAGTTCCTTCAAAAACATAACAACTTCATACCTATTAAGTACTCATATTCTGAAATAAAGAAAATGACTAGAGGTTTCAAAGATAAATTAGGTGAAGGAGGTTATGGTTTGGTTTTCAAAGGAAAGCTTCGAAGTGGCAATTTAGTGGCAGTAAAATTATTGAGCAAATCAAAAGCAAATGGCCAAGATTTCATCAATGAAGTTGCTACCATTGGAAGGGTCCATCATGTTAATGTGGTGCGACTGATCGGATTTTGCGTGGAGGGATCTAAACGAGCTCTTGTATATGATTTCATGCCAAATGGATCCTTGGATAAAATCATATTTTCTAGTGAAGACAACACATCTTTAACCTGTCAAAGAATGTTTGAGATTGCTGTTGGAGTGGCTAGGGGGATTGAATACTTACATCGAGGATGCGAAATGCAGATTCTACATTTTGATATCAAACCACACAACATCCTTTTGGATGAGAACTTCAATCCAAAAGTTTCAGATTTTGGCCTTGCAAAATTGTATCCAACTGATGACAGTGTTGTATCTCTTACTGTAGCAAGAGGTACTCTAGGATACATGGCTCCAGAATTATTCTACAAGAATATTGGAGGCGTCTCATACAAAGCTGATGTCTATAGCTTTGGAATGTTGTTGATGGAAATGGTGGGAAGGAGAAGGAACTTAAATGCATTTGCTAATCATACAAGTCAGATATACTTCCCAAAATGGATTTCTGAACGTTTTGATCAAAGAGAGGATATAGAGTTGGGAGATGTTACTGATGTTGAAAAGAATGTTCTGATGAAGATGGCCATAGTTGCCTTGTGGTGCATACAAATGAAACCT